TATCCTGCCATAGTAGACCTTAGCGCTGCATGCCCTGAACCCTAAACCCTAAACCCTGAACCCTGAACCCTAAACCCTGAACCCTAAACCCTAAACCCTAAACCCTAAACTCTAAACTCTAAACCCTAAGCTCTAAACCCTAAACCCTAAACCCTAAACCCTAAACTCTAAACCCTAAGCCCCAAACCCGAAACCCCCCACCCCCGGCCCTTAGCAAAGTCCCGGGCCTCGGCTCAAGCCTGCAGGACATCCTGGCAGGAGAGGCGAGGTTTCAGGTTTCGGTTTAGGGTTTAGGGTTTAGGGTTTAGGGTTTAGGGTTTAGGGTTTAGGGTTTAGGGTTTAGGGTTTCAGGTTTCGGGGCTTATGGTCAAGGGGAATTTCGGGTTCCTTTAAAGGGATCTATAAGGGTTCTTTTAAAGGGACCTATAGGGTTTTAGGGTTTTAGGGGTTTCAGGTTTCGGGGCTTAGGGTCAAGGATGAGTGTTTAGGGTTTAGAGTCTAGGGTTTAGGGTTGAAAGTTTAGGGTTTAGGGTTTAGAGTTGAAGGTTTAGGGTTTAGAGTTCAGGGTTTAAGGTTTAGAGTTTGGGTTTAGGGTTTAGGGCAGCAAGGTCCACGGGTAGATAAAGATATAGATATAGATACAGCTTTAGATACTAGCTATATGTACGTGGCATTTGGTAGCCGTCTTTGGGGATCTTCGGCACGAGGTTTAGGCTGCACGGCGAGAGGACGCGGCGAACCCGAATGCACACACTCGACAAGACGGGATACACCGCGAACACGAACAACACAGTAGACCATGCACCGACGTGAATATCCAGAAACTCGGGAAGCCCCCACAAAGCACATCTTAATCCCCAAAATCCTAAAACACTCAGACCTTGAATCAAACCCTACATTCCCAAACCCTAAATCCCGAAAGCCCGATAAAACCCTAGACCCTAAACGTGCTTGACGTAGACCCCTGATGAATGAACTCCCGTGTTAAAGCCTCCCAATTTAGGGGGGTTAACCCTAAACCCTAAACCTAAAGCCTAAAACCTCAACCCTAAACCGTGGGTCTGCGATTATAGGGTTTAGGTGCTCCTTCTTAAGAGCTCTCCATGAAATCACCCGGGAGCATGGCTATTTTCAATAAGTCGGTCTACAAACAAAGTGATTATATACTACGGTAGACTATAATCTACCTATAGCCTCCATTGTAGTTCCTTTTTGGGGATGCCTTATAAAATCCTTAGTTTATATAATTGGTTAAACCAAAAAAAGGAACTACAATGGAGACTCCAGGTATGATGTAGGCGCCTTAATACGTGAACTGAACAAGTATAGGGCTTAGGCTTTGGTGGTGCGTTGTAGTGTACTGGCACTGAGGAACCCCAGGGAATAGTATTGGTAACTATTCGGCCTGCTGAATTATGGTTTAGGGTTTCGGGTTTAGGTACTTAACCCTGAACCCTAAACCCTAAACTCTACTTACTCTAGCTCAGGACAGGACCTGAACAGAGACTACACCCTAAAACTAAACGAGACCAACCCGAAACTCCGAATTCGTGCAATCCCGACTCCTTGAACCCCACATCCCTCGACCCTAAACGCTCAAACTTAAAACCCGGAAGCCCTAAACCTTAAAACCCTACAGCCCTGGAGTCTTACAGACCTCAACCTTCACACCCTGTGCCCAGAAACCCTAAACCCGAAGTAAAACCCTGAATCCGTCCTTGTCGTAGATCGGTTCCGAGGCAGATGGGTGGAGGAAGCTTCTGGATCGAGCTTCCTCCACGTGGGCCGGGTGCCGAAGCCTCGGAGGGGTTTGGTTAAAGGAAACTACAGGTGGTGAGTTTAGGGTATATAAGGGTTTAGGGTTTAGGGTTAGGTGGGGAGTTTAGGGTATATAACGCTTCTATAAGGCTTCTATAAGGTATATAGACCTTCTAGAAGGCTCCTATAACGGTAACTACCCACCTGAAAATGTCCTAAACTTAGGGTGCAGGGCTTTGGGCGTTTAGGGTTTAGGGGGTTGTAGGCTTTTGGGTTTAGGGCAGGGCTTTGGGGGTTTAGGGTATTGGGGGTTGTGGGGTTCTGGTTTTAGGGTTTAGGGCAGGACTTTGGGGGTTTAGGGGTTTTGGGGGTTGTAGGGCTTTGGGTTGAGAGGTTTTTTTGGATTCAGATTCCTTATATAGGGCTTAGGATTTACAGCTTCTACCCTAAACCCCTAAACACCAAACCCTAAAACCCTGAACAACCCTAAACCCGGGCCCCCGGCGCCGGATGCCAATAGGCATCGAAAGGGAAGCGATCGGCCAAGTTCGGATCAGCCCTTGCCTTTTTGGAGTCATTGTCTTTCGCGGCTTAGGGTTACTATATGGCTTGCTATTCTGGGCTACTATCAAACGGTACTCTAAAACCCTAAACCCTAAACCCTAAAACCCTAAACCCTAAACCCTATAAGGGTGCCATGAAGGTTGAATCCGGCTTTCGGTATTCCGGGCTTTCCAAAAACCTCTGCTGCTTAACATTGAGAGAGTGCAGGATTTCGTCTGGTTCAGAGCTTTGGGCTTAAGATAAACTCTAAGGGCTAAACCCTAAAGCCTGAACCCTAAACCCTAAACCCTAAACCCTAAACCTGCTTCGCAGGGGTGTTCGAAGTCTCCATTGTAGGTTTGAGCAGGCGTGGCGCCCAGGGCCTCAGGGCTTGGGGGCGTAGGGTTCAGGATTAACGGTTAGGGGTTTAGGGTTTAGGGTTCAGGAATTAGGGTTGAGGGTTTATAGGGTTTGGGGTTTAGGGTTCAGGAATTATGTAGGGTTGAGGGTTTAGGATTTAGGGCTTCCATCATTGACGGCTCTGTTCAAGGCTTAGCGTTGGGCGTTTCGGAGTTCAGCCGGGTGGTTTGAAGTCTAGAACCCCTCGGACAAAACCCGGGATCTCGGCTGCAGGATCCCACGAGGTTCGAGTTAGGGTTAAGGGTTTGGGGTATAGGGTTTTAGGGTTTTAGGGTTTAGGGTTTAGGGTTTAGGGGTTTGCTTAGGGTTACGAACGACTTCGGAGTTGGGTGCCTGAGGGGGGGGGGGTCGATGCTGGTGCACGGCCCTCCAAGGTTTCAGAGCAAGATCATGTAGACCCCGGGTTACGGTTTAGGGTTTCAAGGTTCATAAACTTATAAACCCCAAATTCATAATCGAAGAACTATCTAATCGGGATCCTACCATCATGGCCCGTAGACAAGGCATTCATGAACCAGGGGACTACAACCCATCTTCAGACAATTCCAACCTGAAGTCAGCAAACCTCGAGTAAAGCGAACATGCCGGTCGAACCGACGAGTAGCTGCAGGTTGATGTAAGGGTAGGGGCCTTAATAATTAGAATGGGTTTTGGGGTATACTACATTGTAGTTCTAATAAGGAAGCCCCTAAAACAGTATAAGTAATTACTCAGGCCCTATATTTAAATGTGGGCTGCTATGTGTGGGCAGAGCTGAAAGTCAAGAAGTGGCGGTGTGCATACGACGAGTAGCTAGATACACCCGATAGCTCGTATGCACCTATGCATAAGTAAGTGTGCATTGTATATGTGTATATATAGATATATAGAGAGAGATTGAGAGAAAGGACAAGGGAGAGTTATTGTAGAATACTTCTGGTGGTATGCGGCGATAAACAATTTTCGCATTACCTTAGCCTAGATACGCTCAGATTTTGCAAAGGCTGCATATTCCTAAGACAACCTCCTCCTGGATAATGCTGGATTCTGTCCATCAACCGTATACTCAATTCCTGAACCCCCAAACCTTAAACCCTAAACCCTTCTTCTGAGCTCCCCGGCATCGAGCGTCCGTGCGGCTCGCAGCGACAGCCGTCGTGACGGCTCGGCAAAGCGGAATTCGGCACGGAGGCGAAAGGCCACGGGCCTCGGATGGGTTGGAGTGGCTTTTAAGGGTTCAGGGTTTAGGGTTCAGGGTTTAGGGTTCAGGGTTTAGGGTTTAGGGTTTAGGGTTTTGTTCTACTGGATATGATTTAATCTTCGGACTACACTGAAGGCGTAACTGTAATGGCTCCTTAGGATTCAGGGATGAGGTCTTGGGGTTTGGGTGATGTGCTTCCGATTGCGTTCGGGATGTACGGCTTGTTGGATGATTCAGATGGTTGTTAGATAGAACGAACATGTGGGTAGTTCTCAAAATTATGGTGCCTTTTGGGATACCCTAAATAATAGGTGCCGTATTATAATAAGGACCCAAAAAGGGACCAGATTTTTGACAACCACCCATGTGGGTAGTTGGGCAGTAGTTGGGTCCCTTTTTTGAGTCCCCCAAAATGGCACGGCACCCTTATAAAAAGGAAAGTAAACCGTAGCCTTAAGGTAGTTGGGTCCCATTTTTGGGGTCCCCCAAAATAGCGCGGCACCCTTAGAAAAAGGAAAGTGAACGGTAGCCTTGAGGTAGTAGGCACTCTTCTCATTCCAGGGTCTGGGGTTCAGGGCTTAGATTCTTAGATAGGCGATGTCACAACCCTTTCTTTGGATCTAAATCTAAACCCTACAGCCCAAACTGGAGCCTCACAAAACACTGACCAAAAGGAACCTCGGAGTATTAAGAATTGCTGCCCCTAAGCCGGCCCTAAACCCTAAACCCTAAACCAAAAAGACTTGATATTCAGGACCGTTCATCCCTTGACCTGCAAACCCCTCTCGAGCGGCCCTGTCGGAAAGGACAAATTCTACCCCAAACCCAAAACCCCAAATCTTAACTCCTAAAGGTTTTGGCTTTGGCCACTGGTAGTGGCCAAAACCCAAAACCTTTAGGAGTTAAGCTTTGGGGTTTTAGGGTTTGGATGTTTGTTTGTCGGCGGTGGGTTTACGGTCTAGGACGGCGGAGAATGGTCTGTACATCCTCAAGCCCTAAACCCTAGCTACAGTAAACCCTATACCAGGAATCCCAAATTTGGAGGTGTGCCAAGAGATGGTGAACACACTCCCTGCCCTTCCTCCTGGGAACGCAGCCGCACAAGCAACCAAAGGAATAACTCAACCGCGGAATCAACAGGTTCGGGGTTCAGTTCATGGTCCAGGACTTGGAGTGTTGGGGTTTAGGCCCACGGTCTAGGGTTTAGGGTTCAGGGTTTAACGGTTTAGGATTTCAGGGATTAGGGTTTAGTCCTAAATCCGAACCCCTAAACCCTAAATCCGTTTAGGGTTTAGGGACCTTCTTCGAAACACAACCCTCGCGTTGTCATGTACAGGTGAATCTTCCTGGGCGAAGTAGCCTTCAAGCAAACTGTTGCTGCGTCTCAGAGAACCTCCTTCATATCACAAAACTAGCGTTCTTTACATGGGATCCTTGTTACGCCAGACATTTTTGTATTCTGACATCTAGCAGCCTGGTGCCTTCTCAACCTTGCTTAGAGTTTAGATATCTTGCAAGGGTGCCATGGTCCTATCACAAGCCTCGAAAGCCTTTCAAATATAGGGGCCATAACAATTACCTATATTGTTTTGGGAGCTCCTTATTATAATTGTAGTATAATGGGCCCCAAAACCCCATTCTAACTAGTAAGGCCTCTATATTAGATCCAGGACATTAGATCCAGGGCCCCTGGCAGCAGTGGCAGCGGCAGCAGGAAAGGCAGCTGCGCGTAGCCGGACCTGTTTACACAACATCGGGATTGATGCGGAAAAGACGACGTACATATTACATGCAGACATGCCTGTACGCAGATGCAGCTGCGGCCAAAGAAGGGTGTCTTCCAACCTTGCCTGATGCTAGGATCCATCGTCCGTCTCTCAAGCCTCTGCCACCCATTGAACCCGTTGGCAACAGTGCTTTCGCTCCTAACCTATGATGAGATTTGGTAGCGCTGACTTCACAACCCTCACCCCAAATGCGCAGCCCTTCTTTCAATTGAAGACCTTCGAACTCCGCAGGGGTGCAACACGCTAGCAGTCCAACCATCAACATCACCTCAACTTGGAAACATCTTCGCCTCAGCGCCACAGCAGCCAGGGTCGCAACATCCCCCAGGAAGAGGGCCATGATGGCCTGTCGGTTATATGTGCCCAAGTGCCTAAGTGTACCCCGAAGTTGCTGGGTTTACCTTGACGCTTGTGGTTGGGGTGGTTTCGGGCTCCAGATTTCTGCAGGTAAATGTCCGAAACCTAGGACGTCACCTCCCACCCTCACCACGAGCAATACATGTACTCGACACCCACTCGACTTGCCTCCCCATGGGCACTGGAACAGCTCTTCTCACGCACTCTGCTCAAACTAGCTAGAGCTTGGTCAGCCTGCCCCGGACACTCAACGGTCTGGCGAGGCTGATGTGAAGGAAAAAGGCCGTTCAGCCAGAATGCTTCTCCCTAAGGGTCCATGTGCTCTTATAGTATATACATTGGCCTTAATGTAGTCCCGATATATTATAGGTACTTTAGGGCCCATGTAAATGCTATATGAATACATGAACCCTTAGGGTCTGTAGAACCCATCCAGACTCATTAGCTGCGCTAGAGGATTCTACAGCTAGCTCTCCAGAATCCAGTGTCCGCTCGTCGTTGCACGATAGACTTGGGAGTTTCCGAACATATAAGGGGTACCTTATTTTGGGGTCCTTGTAATAAGGATCCTACTATTTAGGGTGCTATATTAGGGTCCCCTATTTTCGGAAACCCCCACTTCCATGAACATAGCGTGCAGTCCAACCTTTACATGTTGGTTGGTTGAGTAGGTCGATGCATGCAAGTAAAGGGGTTCCTAGACCCCTACACTTCGACCCTTGAAACCCTAAATCCTTTGAGCCCAAAACTTCGGGGGTAGCCCGGCCTGATCCCAGAGCAGATACCAGAAGGCACCCCCCGAGTCGAAACGGGGGACATGGACCTGAGGCTCTTGAGCTTGTTGTTTAGGGGTTTAGGGTTTAGGGTTTAAAGTTGAAGGCTTAGGTTTCAAGATATAGGGTTTAGTTGTTTTGTCTTACACCTGTTTCCTTGTGTCACATGGGCAGAAGCCTTTGTTCAGTTTGTGCCTGTGAGCTGCTTGGGTGCAGGGTTTTAGCTCTATTATAACAGGGTTTAGGGTTTAGGGTTTATAGGGCTTAGCGATCTACCAGGTGTAGGTTTGATCGTGAGTCTTTTGGCAGTTCATGTCACTGCGTGACGGTCTTTGTTTCAGGCTTTTTAAAGCTTCTGGGGCCTTCTATTATGGGATCCTGAACGGAGGGTCTCAAGGGGGGTACATAACCCAATAGTTCCGCAAGGATCCTCTGTAATTCTGCTTCTACCGTACGTTAAACCCAGGTTCCGAGCAGCAGCACACTTTCAAAGCTGTCTAATCTCATACCAGTCGCAAGTCCCTCCCTAATATTATATGGCCCGATGTCACTATTCTAGCATACCGTTGTGATGGTACTCCTGCCAGCATTTCAGGGTCAGCGGTGCTCAGCTCCTGGCATAGAGATACCGCAATGCCAAGACCAGCCAGCGCAGAGCGAAGAACAAGGCCTCGACTGATTGGTGCAGGACGTGAAGACTTCGGACCCAGACTCATACCTCTCTAATCACAAGAGCCTCTTAAGTCTTAAAGATATGACTTTCATACTCTAATCATATGCAATCTAAGCCTTAAAGAAATTACTTTCAAAACCCCGGAGGATGAGGATTGAACACTCAAACCGAAACTGACTAAGGGCCCTTGTTGTCTTTCCCTTTTGTTTTTGCGGTTTGATCCTTAAGCTTTCGGGCCGGAAGTGATACCGCTCTTTGACCGGAGTCTGTCGTGGTCGCTCTTCACTCCACTCAACTCCACTCCACTCCACTCCACTCCACTCCACTCCACTCCACTCCACTCCACTCCACTCCACTCCACTCCACTCCACCGATGGGGGTTTAGGGTTTACCTATAGTCTCCATTGTAATTCCTTTTTGGGGATGCCTCATAAAAATCCTGAATATATGGTTGGTTAAACTAAAAAAGGGAACTACAATGGAGACTACAGGTAGCCTTCGAACCAGCCGTTACGCCGCACAAACGCACAGTCCCATGCCCCAAGTGTACTCAAATCTTCATCCCTCCTGTGCGAAAGCGGAATCCATGCACAAACGTCATGAATCCATTCTGAGAAGAGAAGAGAGCATCCATGGCCCAACCATGATGACGTCCATGGTCGAGTCCGTTCTGAGAAGGGAGCGTCCATGGCCCAACCATGATGACATCCGTGGGCTGCTCCAGAAGAGAGCATCCATGGCCGTTTGTAGCAGCCCAGCTCTAAAGAACCAACACACTTGGTGATGGAGTTTCTACAGCCTTTTTGGCAACTCAGTTTTTGCTCCATCAGCCTGGATTCAACAACTTCTGCACGCTTTTTCGCACCTTTAGAAGATTATCATGTGGACAGGCTTGGTGCCTATACTTGCGAACAGCTCCATGATAAAGACTAAAGTGCACACGATCTCATAGTACTGAAATTTCGCGAAAATCATCGTTTCCGTAACACATGCCGAACATGATGCAATGTACGTACCGTATGTACCACGCCTGCCACGCGGATCGACCTTGCAGCCAATGAGGTTCCTTCCAAGCCCAAGCCCGGTGTGACTAAAGTCTCAAAAATGACGCCCTGGCGAAATCCACGTTTTCGTGTCTTCCGATGCATTGAAAATGCTGTGCCAGCAAACATGATGTTATCGTTCGGGGCTTGGGTTCGAACCTTATAATGTAGGATCCTTAATCATTAGAATAGGGTTTGGGGGTATATTATACTATAGTTGTAATCAGGAGCCCCCAAAACTCCGGAACACTAAACTCTAACCAGCCCCAAGCCGACTCCCTCGAGACCCGCACCCCGGCGACGATGATCAACGGCGCCAGAGCGGCATAGGTCACGCAAACAAGCAGCCTCGTAGGAGGACCCCCCAATGGAGCGAGCCCTTATGGTCCTTATAATAGTAGGTACCAGTATTTGGGGTATAATAGAGGGTAGTTGGGGGGTCTAGGCTCTTAGGAGGACTTACTGGAAGCCGGGATTCGGTTTCGGACCATACAGTACAAGGTGTGAGCCTTGGGTGAAGCTTGACCCGGTGGTTGCACAGGTCGTGCGAGTCGGTGGGGGCAACTTTGTGGAGTGAGTTTGCGCTTCTATGCCATGCTTTAGATTGAAACCCTAGGCCCTACAAAGTTTGCGCTTCGATGCCATGCTTTAGATTGAAACCCTAGGCCCTAAACTCCTCAACCCTAAACCCTGAACCAGCTGCTTACCCATGGGCCCCATAGTAGTTCCGTTTTGGGATTACCTTATAGGATTCTCAATCTGAACCCCAAAAAGGAACTAGTATGGGGCCTATGGGTAAAGCTAGAGCCAATAAGGAGCCCTGGAGGGGCCTTAGAAATTTGAACAGGGTTTTGGGCCCCTCTGCAATAAGAAACCCTAAGGAAAAAGGGTGGAATTATTTAAGCTCCTTTTGTAGCCGGAGTAGGGCTTAGGTTGAGAAGTCATCAGTGGTTCGAAGAGGGCTCATGAACAAGCCGCTACCACCCCAAACCCTAAAGCCCATCAATCCGAAACCTGGCAAGCTCCAAACCCTCTCTCCGTGCTTAAGTCGATTCTGCCATGGCTTTGGGGTTGGGTTTCGGGGACTATGGTGATTATCGCGTAAGCCCAGCCTTGAAAAGCTCCGCAAGACACTCTAAGCACTCAGCCATCATCACACCAAAAACCCTAAGCCCAAAAGACTCCAAGGGGTGAACTTTACCAGCTGGGCCATGGCTGGCCCCTCAAAAATAAGATTCTTTTTTTTGCACAATAAGGGAAATTATCAAATGTCTCTTTACTTAGACATTAAACCAGTAAAAGCCGAGCAGCACAAGCAACAAAGCCGAGAGATCTGCTGCCTTGGAGCAGGCTGGAGATTTGTGTGTCTGTCCGTATGTGGAGCAGCACAGGCCCTGTCATGCCTATACAGGATCTTCATGGGTTCTAAGACTGAAGACCGGTGTCATGTGCACATCGACTGCAGTCCAGGGTTTACACTGCCTGCACAGATTAAGCCTTTGCAGCTCAAGCTTCGGGCGCGTCGCTCGTTCTCTAGGGTAGGAGTGAGCATGATATGTTGTGTCGGGTAGTGTAGCGGTGCTATGACTATTTCGAGTGTTTCGATGATGATGGATGATGATTATGACTCGACTATGAATAGGCTTTCCGCTGCGCCAGTGCCGACGAAAACTCAGCCTATCGGAGCCAACATGAGTCATATGGTCTGAATGGGCCTTGAACGAAAATAAATGAAAGGTTCCACTAAAGCCACTCCGAATTTTCAGAGGCGTGCTAGGAGGCTCTCGAGAACACAGGACTTTTGTGGGGTTTGCCCAGGAGTCCTTTTCTGCCGGATCTCCCGAGACGGTTCGAAAGCCCTAAAGCCTAACACCCTGCAACCCCCACCGGAAACCCGTGGACAGGCTTAGAGTTTTAGGTTTGGCATTTAGTTGTACTACAGGGGCCTTAATAACTAGAATAAGGTTTTGGGGCCCTGTGTACTATAGTCATAATAAGAACCCCCCCAAAAAATAGTATAGGTAATTATTTAGGCCCCTCTGTTACTTGGGGCCTTTACGTCGCGAGCTCCAGGGTCTTAGGGTTGCTTTGGAGTCTGGAGCTAGGCTTCCCCCAGTTCTGAACCTCAAGCATGTTCGTGAAGATCGCATAAAATAGGGGCCTTCATGATTAGACTAAGGTTTTGTGGTATACTATACTACAGTTATGATAAGGAACACCCAAAATAGTATAGGTAATGCTTAAGGCCCCTATATTTTCCTGGGGCGCTGCACCGTACCCCCGTTCTCTTTTCCGCCCCGGCACTGCGCCACATTCTGAAGAAGCCCCGAGCAGCATAGGCCCTACTTCCCAAGACTCGCACCATGGGTGGTGTGTCCAAGCAGTCCTGCTTCTCATGAGCTGTGACCCTAAGGGCCCAAAGGACCTAATAATCATGTACTTGAGGTACGGATAGTAGTTTTGTAGGTTAGTATTCAGAAGAGCATATGATTATTAGGTACTTGGACCGTTAGGGTGATTTCACAAGAGCCTAGAAGCATGAGAAGTCTACGTCAGCCCTACAGCAGGGCAAGGGCACTGCGGAGGGACTTTGGATTTGGGTGGTTGTCAAAATTAGGGTCCCTTTTAGGGGTCCTTGTTATAAGGGTGCCGTACTATATTGGGGACCTAAAAGGGGAACTACCCATTTGGTTCTGTCACTGTGAGTCGCTGTTACGTGTGATATCGGGTTCTGTTCGGGCGTTTGTCTCGCGAAGCGGGCGTTCACGGAGCGCACTTCTTGTTGTAATGTAAGTAAATCATTCATGACAGGCTAATCTGCAAAAAATGTTCTGACATTATCTGTTCCGTTTCTCATCGAAAAGGTGGTTGGTTTGGGATAAGCAACCATTGCTACCCTCCTACAAAACTCTTGTGAAACCTGTAAACCTTATAACATCCGTCCAGTCTATCCGAACCCTTGCACAAAGCCTCGGGATCTACAGCCCTTACAGCAACATAGTTCCGACATATCCCTCAAAGCTCTACACTCCACGGCCAAATTGTAACACCTCTCTTGAGTACCCACAGCCTCGAACCTTATGATAAGCCTTCTCAAACTCCTCAACCCTAAGCCCTAAACCCCAGACCTCAAAGCCCAAAAATCCTAACGTCTTAAATGCGAATGCCACGAAGTTCAGAACCCCTCACTTTCAAGACAACATGAAGCCCTGTATCCCCAGACCCTCCATCTACTCTCTATGTTAGACCCTGAATCCCTAAATTCGTGTCATATATATATATATATACATATATATATATATATATACACCCCTAGTTGAGTGTACAAGGAGGGTCCTGGTCTACAAGCTACAACAAAAAATGTGAACCCCGAAATCCGCATGCAAAGCACCTCGGCCGCTGCAGCCAAGAACTGACTCTTCTCGGTTTCCACCTGGGTCTCTCCCGCGTACGGCTATAAAGGCCTATATTAGGGTTTGAGAAAAGTGGCGCTTCGGATTCGGGCTGTAGGGTTCTAGGGCCTACAGCAGGTTTGAGTCCAGTGGCATTGAAGGTTTGGGGTTTCGGGGTGTGTAGGATTCAAGGCATTACGATCCGCGGGCCTTGAATTAAGAAGTTGGGGCGTGCTTTGAGTATGCATACACATAACTATATAAATCTGTATATAAATATATAGCATACGCATATTCTTGCATGTATGTATATGTGTATGTATATATATATATATATACATACACACATACACACAAACATTGCATCACATCACATGCATCCCATGGCAGCCCCACATCCTGAACCCTAAACCCAAGACCCCGAACCTTAACAGTATCCCTCAAAACCCTCAAAGCCTGGCTTTGAGCCTCCCGGCCGCGGGCAGTCGAAGCAGTCTCCGAAGGCGGCGCCTCGGAAAAGGGCCCTTATAGGGGTGTCTCAGGAATATAGGTTTAGGATACATCTGTAGATCCTCATAGCCGTATACTCCCTTAATGCATGCATGCACGACATGCATGCTGCATGCGTGCACATGAGCACACAAACACTGTGCATCAACGGATACAGTCGGATACATCACCATGAATCGGAATCACTCCCGCAGCTAGGCATCCACGCGTGGCCACGGCCCACATGAGCTGCGCCAGCAGAGGCAGTCGAAGAAGACTTACCGGGCCAACGACCTCGGTTTAGGCCATGATACTATGATACTAGAATACTAAATATCTGTATAGCTATATAGATCGTCGCGGACCATGCGGCATTAAGGCTGCTTATGTCAAACCCGCGTCTGCGCCGAGGGTCAGAGGTGGATGAGGAAGCAGCTCTTTTCTTCAAGTAGCTTCAAATGTAACCGAGTGGAGCCTCCTGGAACAGCCGGAATGAACCGGCAAGGCATCCCCGACATGCACTTGCAAAATGATTCTCAGCTTCACTCCGTCTTGGAGCTCCGCCGGAAGCGGCTCTGAGCCGCATCCCTTTTGGGGGGCGGCTCTGGGACGTTGAGGGCCAACAGAAGCGGCAGCGAAAGCAGCGGCCATCACCACGCCCAGGAAGGTGCTTCGTGAGACACGGTCTCCAGATGCGGCAGCGAAAGCAGTCTTTCGCTGCCGCTTCTGGAGACCGTGTCTCACGAAGCACCTTCCTGGGCGTGGTGATTGCTGTCTGGTCTTGTATCCCATCCCATATGCCGTCTGTGCCCAGGATGAGAAACTCAGTCGTCTCCTTGACTTCCACGACTGTGACCTCCGGTGTGCACATGAGGCCCTGGATCTTGTGTCCTGTCTTGCCCGTGATGTCACCGAAGGCCCGGGAGACCTGCACCTTGCCATCAACGTATCCACACTCCGTGCTTACACCATCTCACACCACTGTCGTTCAGCCTCTGCTTCTCCAGCTCGTTCTCTCCGGGGAGTGGTCTTTCGTTTTGGTGGATAACTTCGAGGACTCACAGACCACCGCACGGCAGTCTCCCAAATTCAGCAGGATAACCTCCTTGTTTTGGAACAGTGCGACGAATGCGACGGTTCCGGATGATGTGCCGGAAGGCAACATACTGGCCTCGCCGGCCAATTCCTCGTGCATGAGCTCTTCCACTGCATGGAAGGCATCAATCGCGGCCCGCTCCTTGTTGCTTGTCTGCTGAAGATGCTGGTTCAGCTACTTTGGTAAGTGCGACTGAGCCAGTGGCTGCCTTGTCCACTCCGTGCCCGTCGATGACGGCAAGGCACGTCGCAATCCAGAAGAACGTAGCCGGATACACGTCGTGTATTTGGCGACGCTCTCCTGGATTGCGACTGCGTCCTCCATGGTCGCTCTGTCATTTATCGCCACTGCATATCCATGAGACAGACAAGGGGCCGACGGGCTTGCCACTGTACGGTAGTGGTGGCAATGCCGAGC